CCCCAAAACCCCAAAACCCCAAAACCCCAAAACCCCTCAATATTGACTCATATTGAAACCTAGTTTAATAACCCTAGACTATTTTCTTTATTCTATTCACTCCTCCAATCTTAAAACCTCAAGTATCATTGCCAATAAAGTATGCTTGGGTATTATAAGACCTCTTTATTTTTATTAACAACCAGGTCTTCAGATTAGCAAGAAAATATGAGGCTAAATAAATGATTTTCTCCCAATGAAGTGTATGAAAGTTATGTAAAAAGGTCGCTTAAAGTTATTTATCTCAAGCGATGCCTTAGAAGACGAATGGATCAGAACTTTTAGTCACAAGAAGTTATGAAGGTAACTTCATGGGGTAAATTCTGGATGTGTTTCATTAATCCTTCTATATATCAGTAATCTGGCTTAACATAGCCCTATTGTCCAGAGTTACTCCCATTTGGATTCTGATAGCCTGATATATGCACAGGGTTTGCCTGCAGCTGATGCTTCCACCGTCCTTGAAGAATTTATGCACCTGGGCTTGCCCATTGTCTTTGAATTAATAAATTTAAAGAGTTCTAGAAGTCATTTTTAGTAAAAGCTACCTCTTGACTCTAACTTCGCTAAGTTTATTAAGAAATTTTTTAAAAATTGAATTTAATGTTGATGTTCAAATAAGCATAAAATGTTTGTCAGTCCAATTGTATATAAAAACAGATATCCTCGGTGGCCAGTACACTCGGAGCTTAATAATTCAAAAACTTGGTGCAGATTTCTAATTATTATACCCTTTAGCAACATTGATAGAGCCTTCTGAGACTATTTAATATTTGGGTTTTAAGGAAAGCACTGTCAGTCACCAAAATTTTTGAAAGTTTAGATTTTATATGAAATTTGTTTGCTTCATTTTTTATCTCATTAAAACTTTCATAGAGGTCACCAGAAGGCTGGTAGGCTTAAAATTATTAACTTTGAATAGAATAAAAATATTTCAAGAGCTTTAAAGAGGTCAAACAAGCATTTTCGATCACTAAAAACACCATGAATAATAAAGTTCATGCTCTTGAACCCTAAGACTGCCTAAAATTTGAATAATTTTTACCAATTCCAGAGCCAGAGACCCAAAAGAGAGTAAGAAAACTAAGAACACTAGAAAAATATTTCTTACCTTTTAGGCTAACCCTGCTACTAAAATACTTAAAATTTCTAATTATTAGATGGAAACAACTTAGGCAATGCTTATCAATAATAGGAGCAAGCTAATAGTCCTTACCTCTATAGGCTCTGGGAAATCAGCTATAACTCTTGAGGAAAGCTACAAGCAAGGGCTTAGGTAGTACGTCTCCATGAACAAATTTGAAATGTTCGAAACTATAGTAAATTATAATTAACAGAAATTTTATCAGCAATATTAGGCTGCTTACAGCCCTGAGGTTTCTGATAAAAATTGGGATCAGCAACCTTGGCTAAGCAATCTTTCAGGTAGAAAGCAAAAGCAAATTTTTATAATAAAGTTAGTTCAAAATGTGAGTAAACTGATATTTCCACCGCGGTGAAAACCTATGAATAACTTTCAGAATTTTTAGATAAAAATAACCCGCCTTCTGCTGATATGGCCCTACTGTATTTCCTATGTCACCAATAATACGAAATGGCTCTAAAATTTCCTCAAAATCTTCTAAAATAAGTCTCCACTTTTTTCATAATTTCTGAGCATACTCACAATTTTCAGGAGTAACTTAGAAACCCAACTCGAAATTTCTAAAGGTTCTTGAACAAGGCTAGAGCTTTAAGCAAGGAGCAAGAGAGAGTTTACATTGCTAGGTCTTGGTATCGTGGAAACTTCCTATGAGCCCCAGGCATATAGAGTTCCAGGAAAAATAGTGATTAATGGCCCATTATATTTCTGCCTCTTTTAGACACAAAATTTACTAGTTATCTTACTAGCTGAGACAGCTCTTTGTAATGACAAAGTGAGATTGGTATATCTGAGAACTAAGCTAGTGAGTCTACAAAGGCTGATAGTCAATTGGTATTACTCATCGAAATTTTAGTGGAAGAAAGAGAAATTTAGCTTAAAATAGGAAACTAGTTCCAGAAAATGTTTCAGGGTAAATTTATGATGAATTAATAAGCTTGGAATGGAACCTGGCTGGCTCAAACACTCCTCCGTTTAAGTTGAAGCTCTCCACCATTTCAAGGATGTCTTCGGCCTTCCAAGCAAAGTTGGTAGGTGCTTTGTCGCTATGCAGCATCAGTGAGTAAAAGTCGAAGGTGATTGCTGCATCCAGCTCGAGTGGAAACGAACCCACGTAAGTCTTCTTGCCTCTCACCACAATAAGAGTCTGGTAGTTGATTGAGTTCTTGGTGACTCCGGTGTACTTGGACCTTCTCTTGCTCACTTTCTTACCCTTACACAGGTTGGCCTTCTTCTTGGCTGTGACGAATGCAAGGCCAGTTCCCAGCAATGGGCACAGCTTAGCCTTCAGCTTCTTTTGATGTTTTGAGAAGTCATATGTGTGAATAGTTTTGACTTGTTTCTGGCAAGTGTAAGGCACTCTTCCGATTGCTGGAACAGCTGAGTACTGGCTTTGGTTGAACTGAGAAAGTGACAGTTGAGGCTCCCATCCAGTCCTCCACTGAGGCTGCTCTTGCTGAGACATTGGTTGTAATAACTGATGCTGTTGGAACTGGACAGAGACGTCGCAAAGGCAGAAATCGTTATTTATATTGATCATTGAATAAATTTAATTATGATAGTAATCCTCTATATTTATAGTGCATCTCGGGGTTTTGGGGTTTTGGGGTTTTGGGG